ATGGCAAGAGGACTTTGATAAAACTTTTGATAATGCTGTAAAAATAGCATCAACAGCATTCCGTAAGGTATCACCTGACCATATAGACACAGAATATGATGAACAAACTAAAGAAAATGAAAATATAGAAGATATAATTGCACCCAAGCAGCCAATTCAAAATAAAGATCAAATACCAACACAAATAAAGAGAAGAATAGCTCACAAATCAGACAATCGGTATGGTGTTCTGAGTAATGGCAAACTGTCTGCGATACCGAAAAGAACACTTGAAGAACATGACCTAATGTTACCATCAAATGAACAGTCAACACTTTCAATATCGGATATATTGAATGCATGTAATACAAAAGAACAAGAAGCATCAGAAAAACAGAATGTGAAGCCGAAAACTACAAAAGAAATATCGCAGGAGAATAAGCGGCTAAATACTACGCATTCTAGTAAAGACAAACAAAAGGAAATAAAATCAGTAAAAATATTGTCAGATTCAATGTTAGAGAAGAAGAGTAGTTCCATCAATTTGTATGACCACAAATCAATAGAAAGCAGGAACCCGGAAACAAACCAAATAGTATTGAAACAGCCTGATGGTTCGAAGGACATGAAACGCGAAGATAAAAAAATCAAACGGACATCGAAGTATGATGACTGCTTAAGGAAAAAAACTAATGGTAAGAAAGTAATAATAGCACCTTCAATGCCAGATTTATTTGATGACGATTCAAAACCGTTCGACCTAGAACATAAGAAAGCGAAAGCAGTTCAACTCAATACACAATGTAAAAATCACACAAATATGATGAAGAAATCAACACCTTCAGTGATTCATGCGAACGAGCCAAACTTATTTGATCCAGATAGTAAAATATCCATTATACCCCGAAAAACATCAAAAAAGAATGTTTATTCGAAAGCCATACAAGATACTAAAGCGCCCATCCCAAGTGTATGCAATATGAAAAATTCTTTCGGTCCAGTACGAAATGGAAAATCACGAAAAGAAAATCGGGGAACGCGAGCAGCACCGTATAAAAAATCAAATCATACTCAAAACAGTAAGGCAAATTCCATCATCGCCTCAAGTACGGTACAAAGAAGTTCCGTGAAGCAAAAAATTTTCGCAAATTTTGATCACATAATTCCTGTTGCAAAATACGTAAAACCACCAGAGGCTAGATTATTAGCAGAGAACCAAAATCTGCTGACATTATCAAAAGGTTCCGTTAACTCTAACAAGAAATATAGAAATGCGATGCACCCAATGTAGATCGTCTTCCAAACTTGTGATAATATATTCATAACTATCAAGATTACTATCACTACTACTTTTAGTTAAGACTAAATTTTCAATGTACTTAAAATATTATTCAATATTGTAATTAAAAAAAATATTTAATATAAATAATAAAAACATTATTAGAAATTTAAAAGATTTTTTCCTTTAAATCAAACTTTTTAGGCGACATTCACATCATGCTTAAATACCACGTATTTAATGATCTGTAAAATCTTCAGTCTGAGGAAAAACAATAATTTAGTGGGAAAAGCTATCGACTCAATAACAGAACTAAATGTGTAAAATTTTATTTTCACGGGAATTTGAAATATAAACAAAATGAACAGTATAGAGATCTTAAGAACCGCGATCTCTTATAACAATTTTATAAGATAATAGTATAAAGTCGTTTTTGGTTCAGTTTTTGGTAACTGAGAGGTTTGTATTCATTTTATATATAATTATGTATATAAAACTTTTATATATGTAAAATCCACACCGGATTTAATCAATAGTATGTATTATATAAATACCATGTAGAATTAATAAATATATAGTATATGTATTATTTAACAACTGAATGCACCAATGCCAGATTAAAGCATTGGTGGATATTGAATCAAAATTGTTTGAATCAAACCACTAAAGAGCACAAGCAGCTCAACATTATGTTTAAAAAGTACAAAATATTAAGATGACACAAATGTTCATCACGAATGTGATGAAGAATTCAACACTCTCCATTATTTCATGCAAATATTATTTCATCCAAAATTATTTAATTCAGATAGAAAAATATTTATTACACTTAAAAAAACATCAGAAAGGTCTGACTGCTCGAAGGCCATACAATGTACTAGAAGCCCTATTCTTTGTACGTATGTATATTAAAGTAAAAAGGATGATAAAATTGGCTAGCAAGAACTTTCCCTTAATAAACTAATTACGTCATGCCATTAACAAGTAATGCTGTTGATCTTCCACAGACGGAAGATCAACATAAAAACAAAGCAGAAGAGATGAAAAAAGAAATTAAGTCATCAAATGTGCGGAGTCCGAACAGTGCGAAGGAGAAAAAATCTTTGGGTCCAGAACGGGGTAACAAATTAAGAAAAGAAAATCGATGTGTGCGACAAGTGCCATATAAAAAATCGAAAGGTACTCAAAATGGTAAAGGAAACTCGATCGAATTAAATGTTATACACAGAAGTTCTTTAAAGCAAAAAATATACGCAAGTTTTGAAGATATTGTTCCTGTTGCAAAATATATAAAACCACCAGAGGCCAGGCTGTCAACAGTTAACAAAAATCTATTGACATTACCAAAAAATTTAATTGGAAAAACAAAACCCGACGTCCCGAATTCTAAACCGGAACATAAGTCGGTTGAAATACTTAAAGTAGATCATTTACCGAATTTGTGGTAAATTATTTAAATTTATTTTTAGTTTTACTTTTTAAATTTATTTTAGTTATACGAATATTAATGTACATATTATAAATTAGACTAAGAAATATATATTGTAATCAAAATGAAATTTTTATGACATAATAATAATAATATTTATAAAAATTGAAAAGATTTCTTTCATTTAAATCAATCCTTCAAGGCAACATTTTAATTTAGTCAGCAAAAAACTAAAAAACTTTAATTTACTTCCGTATAAATTTATAAATGATCAGATTTATCTTTTCAATCTTTTTAATCTTAAATTCCACATAGTTATCTGCATTCTGAAATCTTCAGAGTAGGAAAAATCTATAATTTTATTAGCTTTCGACTTTCCAGTATCCCAAAACAATAACATTTTTTCACCCACTATATAAAATCTTTTTGTTAAGGAAATCTAATTAAAACAATATAAGTTAAATTTAATAAATTATAAATTTTAACTGTAAGTAAAATTTATTTAAAGTATTACTTATAAAAATAATTTTAAGTAATACTGTATAGAGAATTATTTTTGAAAAATGTTGATAAACTTTCGAATGCAATTTGTTTTGAATGCAATTTATATAGGGATAGGGGTATATTGATCCTAACAATATGAAATAGTTTATGTATTTTTTTTTAATTTTTAAAACCTATTCAGTCAGTTGATGATTGTGTCCGATCATAGTAATTATTATTCATGCTAAATAAATAAATGAATAAATCCATGAGGCCTTCTATTTTATGGCTTACTATTTATAATAGCTGCTATCCCAGGTAGGGTTTTTATTGGACATATTGGAAATGATAAGAATATCAAGGCAAAACACTTAGAATATTTCTATTAAATTGGAATTAACATATGAATATCTGAGAGTAAAAATATTTATACTCTAAATTTTTATACATCATAAAAATTAACAGTAAACACATAACAAACATAAAAAAGTAAAAAATAAATTATTAT